TTTTTCCTTTTAACTTGACGATTTGATCTTCTCTTCTGCGTGCAGTAGAGTAAAAACAGAATTTTTACTAAAAACCTCCCCTAATATGAATTGCAGGTTTTGGGGTTCTTTAAGCAATACTTTAGCTAGATCTAAAACCAAAGGCTAACATTTGATGGAGAACATGAAGCAGGTGAACCACAGAGGGATAGAAGAAGCCAAATACAATGTTTCAACCTATGAAGCTACTCGTTTTTCTCGTTTTACATATAAACATTTGACACTTGTTCTTAGAGTTCAGAGGCAAACATGGAATATTTCAAGGTAGAGGAACAAAGCCGAAACATAACAGGTCTCTTGTAAGAAAGCATCACTGTTTCAAAATAATTTCATAATGCAGTAGAAAATAGTAGAACAGCGTCTTATTGTCCAATTCAATAATCTATGAGCGAAAGAGACAAAACATGCTGAAGTGTCTCTATTAAACAACACATTGACCAATTACGAAGATCTTCAGAAATTGTAGAGAGAGATTATTAGCTCACGATAAAGCTGTTTCAACTGCTAATACATTTTGTTGCTTTTTCAATGTTTCCTGTTCAACACGTTCTCCACCTTACTCGAGCTTGTTTAAAAGTCACATTTTGCTTGCTTTGTTTTTATTTCTCTGGATCTTCCCGCGTTGTTTCTGCAAGAGTCTGAGGACAAGCAGCTCTAGTTTGGAGAAATAATATTCTGCCTCTCTAATACAGTAATTTCTTCTCCCGCTCACTCTTTAAACTTCAAATGCTTACACCGCTTTCACATATCCTCTCACCATTGAGCACACGGATGTTTAGCATCGCATATTTAACCATTTTAGGACTGATTTCTAAACCCATCCACCAGACAAACAACAATAACAGAGTCAAACAAGTCAGCAAACCTAAAACCTGCTAACATCTGAAAACAGTGCAACTTCCTTAAGACAAGTGATCACTGCAAAAATAAAACCATCAAAATAAAACGGTCTGTGCTAGCAAAATACGTTACACTGAGCTCCACGGCAAAGTGGCTTTTTTATTCAGCCACTGCTGGTTGCAATATACTACACTGATCAGTCGGAGAGGAACCAACTGAGAATAGAACACAAAACGCTCTGCGGTCGTACACAGATAGGGCCACTGGCCTCTACGGCAGATTTTACAGTAAAAATAAGATTGTAGCACAGGAACTTTCTTCCTGACTAATTCAACCTTTAGTCTGGCTGAGATCTGGTAAAATTAACAAACACATTGGAAGTGTTTTAGTATGACAGACAAATAGCACAGCACACGCTACAGCAAAAATCAAAGAATGAGTATTACCATTCTTCTAGAGAAGCGGGGACTGCAGAAATGAAAATACTTCTTCAATCAGCTCTCTACAATAATGCTGCCAGATTAGCTATTCTTTAATAAAAAGTGTTTTTTCTTAGTGCAAAAAGAAACTTTAAGTTTACACAAACACTAAAATATCACACTACAGTTAAATCAACAGTAGTTTGCCGAAGAAAGTAGAAGCTCCCCAAAAGAACGCCAGCTGGTAGGAACAACGTACAGTGACGCATGAGTTAGGAAAAGAAGGATTAAGAACCAGGTTCAAGTTTTTACTTAAGTATTTGTTCAAATTTACAAAACCTACTGAGACATTAAGAAGCACTTTCAATCCTTCTCACTTGTCTTTTTCCTAATACATTAAGCAATGAAGAAAATGTCAATAGACATACGTTTTCTAAGATATTAATATATTACCTGATCTGTTTGAAAAACCTGTGCGTTTCCCTGAACTGAGAAGTACAGGCATACAAAACTGCTCGAAAGCATGAAATTAAGTAGTACCACCCATTTTCCCAACAAATAAATCAACATGTTTTATAAAGACACTGAGAAACTAGGCATACCAAACTAATTATGAAAAACAGACCTAAAATCGCCCACCAGAGCTTAGAAAGAGAAAGCTACTCACAATAGAATAAAAACACATGAAAATGTTGAAAAATAAACAGAGAAAATGAGTTAAAGAACTAAAGTACCTGATACCTTTCCTGTTCTGCTGCTCCCAAACTCTTGCAAAGATAAAGTGCAACGCTGTGTTAAATGTGTGGGTTAGCACGTTTGTCGGTCTGGCCCATGCCCCGCCATTATCCCCAGCCCCTGTTGCCCCTTCAGGCTAGGGCCACCACGCGATCAGACAGTCCTCCCTCTCTGCCCACCCATGCCAGAGCTGAAGACGACCCTTGCAACAGGACTAGCAAAAAACTAAAACAAACAAAACGATCTTAATTAAGACTTCTGTACTCAGTCTGCTGGCCATTAAGTTTATGGTCTGCTGTTACAGAAAACTATTGCTAAATTGCAGTACTTCAGAACCACCAAACCTTTCCAGCTTCTTCAAATAGTACTAAATCCACTTTCCACATTAAGACAAATTCCCTGGCGAATAATTCATTCCATGCTCCCTTACTGGTAACTTTTACCTAAGATACACTATTGCCTATGTTCATTAAAAGCTATTCTGGAAAACGGTTTCTGATCTTTTTTTTCCCCCCTCAGCCTTATTATCTGCAAAACATTAAAGGTCAGCTCTGTACTTCTTAATTATATTTTCTGACATCGCCATCAAATTACGCAACTAACTTTTATTCTACAACACTGTATTTTGAATATTGATTTCATCTCTACAGATCAAATGGCCTGAGAATAAAAATCTGCACATTTTCTGGAAGAAATTTTATTTTTATATGAGTTTGCCCTGAAGTAGGAAAGTTATAAATCTGTTACTTTTCTACACGTAAACAGCATTTAATCTCTTACAGACAGTTCAGATTTTCCCCACATATAATGTTTTAAGTAATTAGCTATGCTATTATTAATTTGAGTGAAAAATGAAATTTAATAGAAATAAAAACACACTACTGGGGAAATCAGCTATAGCTGTCTGAGCCTCGATTCCATATTTTCATTATGTGAATAGTTTTTTGTGTTTTTTGTTTTTTTACTTCAAATAACAATGATAAAATACAAGAGATATAAACAACTTGTAGGCAGGTTAATATTATTTGGTGACTAAAAAAACTTTGTCATTTACTAGAACCAGCATCTATTTTACTTGTTACAGCCTGCTCCCTTGGAGAATCTTGAGGCTTCCAACCAGTAATTATCTGTGTGTCTCTCAGCAGCAAAACTGTCTTCCAGAGATAACCAACCCTCAGAGCTTCAGCAGCCAGTCAGAACTGCAGCTTACTGGGTCGGGTACAACATCCATGCTATCGCCAAGATGCTACAAAAAGGGGACTCTAACCTGTAGGGTTTTATAATTTTCAACAGGAAACCCCCAAACCCACAAACTCTCCAGTCCCCCAAATTGTTGAAATGTAATGAACAAATAAATACTAGCAACACTTGAACACAGGTCAGCTTCTAGTGTCACACTGACTTCTCTTGCTACAGGTAGACAGCACACAATTACTTTACTGACACTTAAAATCAGGAGCTGCAAAACCATACAGAAAAAGTAACTGTCACTGTGTCAAAAGCAATGTAACATTCCGGAGCGTGGACAAAAGAGCTGTAAAAATCACAACACATACAAATGTAAAAGAGGAAAATTCTGGTTACTTACCTGCGCGTCTTCATCTTTCAAAGACCGTTGTGGAGTCTGCTTAGCATCAGACAATTCATCCGAAGACTCATTTTTTCTTTTCTGCTTTTTACCAAGCGTGATGATAAGCTTTCTGTTAAAAATAAAAACACACTCCAAGTGAACATTATATATTAAAGTTTACTTAATTTCAAGATTAAAAATAACATACCTACTAGTGATTTCCTTATTCTTTTTACTATAAAATCAGGAAGTGCCACCATCCAAAAAAGGAAAAACATTTCACAAAAGAGAAATCACAACTTTACAGTAGTTGGTATTTTTTGCTACTGCTAAGGAAATTCTCTACAGGTAAGTAGGTATCTCACTCTTTCAAACTTCTTTGTATCATAATTTTTTCAAATCTATAAATACATGAGATATGAAATGCAACATTTAAACCAATCAATAAGAGACATATAACTATGCGGACAAAAAATAGCATGACTGATATCCACAGATGATGAACAGTAAGACATAAGGCAAATAATTTTATCTTTTTAAAACCGTTCTCATTTTTACTCATAAAAATAAATTTAGCTATGGACAACAACCTGAAATTGTTCAAAACTATGTCTGACATACGGAATTTGTAAGTTCAAATAAGCTAGATTGAGGGAATTGCAAGAATCCCTGTTTTTAAAACGTAACAAATAAATACAGACACTATATTCAATACACAGTTTTATCACTAAGAACTCTTAGAATCTCTCAGAATACTCCAAGAGCCAATCTTGTGCTGAACAAATTAGGTAAATTAAAATGAAAAAGTAGCAATTATTTCTTAGCTCAAATTTAAAGGTTATGCTGCAAATCATATCAATAGCATTTAATTTGTTTTTAACAAATGTGAAAACATTCATGTCAACTATACTAAAATGTCAAAATATATGTCAAAATATTTGTTTTCATTTTGGAAATGTAATAAATATTACCCTTCAAATATGTTTTTAGTGGAATAATCACAGAATGATTACTAGCTACCCAACAAAAACACAGATAAAGAGCTGTCCTAAAACATATATTTTACGTAGTATCTAATCATCAGATCCGTGTAACCAAAAAATGAGGTTAACTGTTCTGGCTCACAAGTATCTTCTGCCAGAAGAAAATGAACACAAGACTCTAGTCTTTATGAAGACAATACACGTTATTTCATGTCCAAGTAGGTTCAAAATATATTGGCCACCCAAAAAAAACCACTGAGAAGGTCGCTGAAACATTTCCGTGTCTTTTGCTTCTCTTTGGAAAACGTCCAAATAGGAGACTATCGCATATTTACTACACCCAGACTAACAGTCCGCACAGAAAACACAAATCTTAAATTACTAACACACTACAGATGGTTAAGACGACACAGGTAAAAAGATCGTAGCCATATTTTAAAAAGCAATTAACATTTCTACATGTTTTCAATATTTAGCCATAGTATGTTCTGTGGAAAGGTTAAAGGAAAAAATCACTTCCACTCGCATCTTTTCGGTTTCACAGTATGAACTGGAAGGTGCTGGCAAATGCACATGGACGTTAACTCGCAGTAAGCACAGGATCACAATTCTGTGTTTAAGCAGAACAGCTTGTTCAAAAGTGAATTCTGGTCCTCAAGTCCCTGCTTTTTGTTAGATGTTCTCGGTTTAATTATTGATTACAAATCATTTTTCATAATCACAGGAAATAAAATTTCAAAAATGAACAGAATGGTTTTCCTATCGTCTTCAAACGTAGTTTCTTTTCCTCTTGCTTTTCAATTTCTGATGAGGGCTTTTTTTAATACTGTGGGATTTCAGTTATTTGTAAAACACGTTTCTTTCTGATAATAGACTCAGACTGTCCACTTGCATCATTTTTCCCCCCACTTGGCTTCGTAGAATTTAAAGGTGCGTCATTAGCACGTGTCAGCTAATACAACCGTTTAGCTAATTTTTTCAAATCTAAGGGCAGACGCTGCGATTGAGCTTCTGAACTTCTTGTTAAAGGGAGTTGTGCATGCTAAAATTTAACAGAGATTACAAGGGACACCTCAAATTCATGGGCAAGAAGCTACTGAAGACACCTATCTCGGGAAGCTCCTGAACTGCATGTTTGGAGGCTGGGAAGTCATGCAGAAGTACCATTTTTGCCCTGTTCTTATAATCCTTTCGGTGCACCCACTTGTGGCCACTGCTGGAGACGGGATACCAAGACAGATCAATCTCTGTTCTCATCTAGTACAGACACTCCTGCACACTCCTACAAGCCCCCGCGGGACGAGCGTTACACTAAAGCATAAATGCACGAGAGTTTAACGGGGGACACGCTGGAGCAGTGAGTAAAGAGCCCTGCAAACTGAAAGTTTCTGGTAGGGCACAGTGGAAGAGAGCCCAGCTCAACTCTGCTAGACTCTGGTGGTGTGCTGATTACTATCAGCGGATGCATACGCAATAGGGCTTGCTTTAGTTTCAGACAAAAACTAAAGCTGGGATGCAATAATAGCAGGCAAGCCAAATACGTAAAGAATACGTATATGACGGTAAAGAACGTACAAAGCATCCAAACCGTTACCCCAAGAGCGGGGAGGGGAGCATCCAACAAAAAGAACAGGAAAAGTTGTTGCACATGGAAAAGCAGATTGCACGGAGAGAGAAAGCGAAACAAACAGGAACAACTTCTTTGTGCCCAGATCTTGAGGGAAAAGGACTGGGAAGAAACAACTCCACGTCTGATGGAACAGGAGCCACCACCAAGAACTCTACAAAAATTAAGTCTTTATTAAAAGGGATATATTGGAATTCAGAACTTACATTACAAATTCTACCCAGTGAATGAAGAATTAAGAAATATTTTATGAATTCACAAAAACTGACAAGATCAGTGTTTTCCTTCACATAATGAAGCGCTCTCTATTGCACGTTACAAATAATTTACACACTTCTCTAAAGTTTGCCCATATGTTATCAGCAAGTGCAATAAGTTGTGCTGATTTGTAACTGTCCCCTGTTGATCTCTTCACTGAAAGAACTGGACAAAGCATATTCAATCCAACGAACTCATAATCTGTAAATAAATATTTCTCCAGTAAATAGCAAAAAAAAGGCAACACAGCCTGACATATGACAACAAAGACATAATTGTCATTTTCAGACATATTTTGGTTTTTTGGATGAAAACAAGACTACTTTAGTAACAACAAAAAAAAGGGATAACTAAATATATTTTAATATATTAATGTTTTACATTATGCAGAGCCTCGTCCAGTCAAGTCCTGAATATGTCCAAGGCTGATACCTCTGTGGGCAACTTGGTCCTAATTTTGTCCATCCTCTATGTAACAGTAGATTTAAAGTGCTTCCTAAATGCATGTTGCTATGTTAAGCATCTGTATCCATGCAACCTTAGCTTCATCTTCATTTCATACATAATTAACACCTTAGACTCAGACTGCTTCTGAATTCAAAACAGTAATAAGAAAGGCCATGACAGTTTTCCTATGGGTTGCAGTAGCAGCCTTTGAATAGCAGAGCAATGTAAGGACCTTCAATTACGGCACATTGGTGCCAGTATTTGGCAGTGACAGACTGCTCTCCACTCCACCTTTCCTTGCATGTTTTCTCTCTCCTTTTCTTTAGTAGTACCCCCTTGTGTTCACCTCTTACTCTGTCCCTCCAGTCTTACCCATAAATTATTCCATTCCTCTACAGGCTGCTCCGTCTTACTTTGTTCTTGCAACCCCCACCCCCGGCACTCCTCTTCCCAAGCATCTCCCTGATGTTTTCTGACCATCTTCTCCACCCGCTGCAGATCTGATTGCCTCCTCCTCTACACGGATACCCTGCCAAGGAAAGCAGTCAATGTACTGCTTCACTCCCTTCTGAGCCAGCGCCCAGCACCACAGCGCTCCCTGTTATCAGAAGTTGCTGAACTACAGTATGGCGCTGAAGTCATCAGTTTCTATTAGTAAAAATGCAATCTGCTCCCATTTTGGCCAGAAACTTCTAAAAAAATCTGCTGTGTGAAAACAATGATTTTCAGACGCTTGTAAACTGGATCAATTCTGTAAAGTTTTTCACTGAAAAAGCAAGTTCTTTCTTGCCAGTTTGTAAATTTCTGCATGAAAGCATAGAGATCCTCGGCTGAAATCCCTTTTCCAAACTGAAACAAACTGTTCAGAAGAGAAACTATTCTGTTTCTCTAGAAAGGAAACAGCACACTGCAGACGTAGTATAAATAATATCACTGGACTCCACACCAATCTCACTTTTTCTTGCTTTTTAAAACCTAAAACCCCTTCTTACATAACATCTAGAAATATTATTTTAATTAGAAAACATATTGCCTTCTTCTGTAACCACAAATTAAAATTAAAATGTTGAGAAACTTATTATTTCTAATCTTTAGGACATGACCCAGTGTTTTAGGACCACAAACCTAGAAGCCTAAGGATCAGCAAGACCACCATGAACCATAATTGGAGGAGCACATCTGTAAACTGTGCAGTTTCTTCCTTATACATGAAAAACTTGTAGCAATCTGTTGCGTTCCCCCTTCTGTTTGAAAGCAGAGAACGCGATGGAAGAGTTGTCAGTGCCTTAAACAGCTTTAAAATTGTGAAGAACAATTTTCAAAGCCTTCCAAATAAACAACAAAACACCTGTTATCACCAGCTACGTTCGTCTTTCTTTAATAACTCAGTAAAAACAAAACAAAACCTAACCAATTCTATCTATTAGCAAAATCCAAAGCAGATTTTTCTCTCAACAAGATACAGTATCCTCTTGAAATCAGAGATACTGGTAACATAAAAAAAAAAAAGTTACTCCTATCATTTTAGCATAAGCTTAATAAACGATAGCATACTAAAATTAGCCGCTGCCTCCATCTCCAGTTATATCTGACATTAATACCTGGATTGTACGCTGACTTTTAAAACAGTCTAGTCTAGTCTCAAACAAATAACCCTTTCAGGTTCGTACCAAATTAGAACAACAACGCAAGAGAACAAATCAGTGTTTAGGTATTTGGTTGACAAAACCGTACTGTTCTGCATTCATGCATCCTGCAAAAGAAAGTTAAGATTATGTGACTTAAACCCAACTTCCACATCAAAACTTAGAATCTGAGCGCAGCAAAAGCTACGCCAAGGAGTCATCGCTCGCTGCGTGTAAACGCATCCCAGCAGGGTGGTCTGATTTGGAACGCGTGCCCCGTTTCCAATCCCGACAAAACAGCGGTTGTGATCTAACCCAGAGATTCAGTGAGAGCTCTTGCCTTGGATCACAGGTTTACTACCCAACATTTGGCTACGACGTACATGAAATATAGTACAAGAAGCAACTTCACAATGTCTGCTATCCATGAAATTCACTTGAAGACTTTGCATTTAACCTTAAATGATATAAGACCGGCATAACACATGAATCATTTGCTTTTTTACAGGTCTCCTGTTGCTAACTGAGTTTAGACAGGATTCAAACTATCTTAACAGTATCATATCAAAGAGCGATGATATAAAGATTTTCTGTCAGGGTCTTAAGTCCCTAAAACACTCGGTATTGTAAAGGGTGTATCTGATATCTACTTCAAGGCTACAGAGACATTTATTCATTTGAGTAGGGCACTGGATCACAAAGGACTTGTTGGATTCATGCACTACATAATTTAAGGGTTAATAATTAAAAGATGATGTACCATTGTTCTTTTTAGTACATACAACAATCAGCGTGTTTCTGGTAACAGGAAATAGTTTTGAACTTAAAGGGCTACCACCCTGAAAGAAACTTATGCAAGTCTACTTCTACTCAGCTTTTTTTTTTTTTTTTTAAATCATGCAGTGAGGCGGAAAAAAAAGCCTAAATGTAGTCTACTGATATTGTCCTTTACATCAGTAATGTGGAGCTGCTGGTTTTCACTAGGGCCACGATATTTAATTTTATGTTTGCATAGGTGGGAATACAGTGAGCTGTAAAATCTAAATGCCAATCTAGTTTTCTGGACAACAGAACGTTCATGAATTCAAAACTCTTCTATCCTTTACACATCAAGTGGTATTAAAGTTCACTCACTTTTCAGTTTAAACATGCATCACCTTAAATGGAAGAAATGGAGTTATAATCAATTAGAAAAGCCCATAAATAGATACAAATTCTATGCAAAAATGTTAAGTATTTAAATAGACTCCTAAACATCAATGCACTATGCTGGCTATCCAGAATAAAAGTGGGTCTGCAATCCTCAGAAAAATTGTATAGTTAGTGAGTTGTAAAGAATTAACCTGAAAAGTAACCAGGACATAAAACAAACAGGTTACATAATTTGATAATGCTAAATACATTATACATACATTATTTTACTATGATTAATTTGTCATACACTTAAAACATTCTTAGTAATAAGAATTCTGCCATTTATCTTCATCAACGCTTGTGGCACATCAACTTTAATTATTGAATTCAGTTCTAAATCATCTGACTGAAATTAATAGGTGTTATTTCTTTGACTTCAATAGGTCAGAGGATTAAAAATCTTAATCCCTGCCTTTAGAACAAAACTGTAGCCTGCCTAGCAAGTAGTTGCTAGTGATTTATATCTAACAACAATAAATTGAGAACAATCATGTTTTTACCATACTTGCAGATCTCATAGGAAACACTAAGGAAAGTATAAACAGTTAACATAAAGCCTGAAAAGACATACCAATCTATGTATAATTAGTAAGGGGAAAAAAAAAAAAAAAAAAAAGATTGTTTAAAATCATCCTGTCCCCTAAATTACGACACACAGTAGTTAAACTTATTTGGATCCTAGAGGAGGGCTACTCAATTTCAGTAAAAGCCATGCTTTTATGGCTTTTTATTATATTTTTATGGACGCATTTTTACCGATGGCTACCGGGCAATTTTTAATCAAGGTATGTTCAGCAAGCAGTGTGCTGGTTCCAGCTGTGCCAGCTCAGCCAGGCCCAGGTTATCAGCCTGCTACCAGGCACAGCCGGGAAACTGGCACTCAGCAAATCCTCCTCCTCAGAATGCAAGCTGAATCTGCATACCTAAGAGTTACTGCAAATCAAACCTGCTTGCTATAGAAATCACCAAAAATAAGTCATTTGGGATGGACAAATGAAAGCGGATGTCCTTTTAAAAAGGAAAGCCAGACACACCCAAACAAGTTCTCCCTACTTCTTAGAACGTATACTTAATGTTATGACGGTACACCTGTAACTGTAAGGTGTCACTGGGGATGTCAATGTCTGTAAAAGAAATGCAGTTGATAACAGTAACAATTGGTAATTTGTTTTATTTTTATAATGGGATTTTTCAGTGTCTTCAGCTTTCACAATGCTTCTATTTAAGCAGGAAAGAAAATACCCTGTCATATATATTGCCGCTTTTTCTTTTCTTTTTCTTTACTGCTTTTTTCCCCCGTAATTAAAAAGTGAGTTTTCTCTTCCAACTTTAGAAAGATCTCAAAAATCTTTGTTTCCAAGAGAAAAATAAAAGCTTTTTGTGAAACAAGGCATTCCTTCCCCTTCCTCCCCTAAGCACTTATGTCTTCAAGATATTATTTTATCATGGTAAAACTTTCTCCCAAGATCTGACCAACTAAACCAAATGATTATTTAATCAGAGTTTGTTTTGGTTTTCTCGATTATCTTAAAATAACGTAAACTGACAACTCACCCAATCAAAACCTGAATCATATTTTGAGACGTCAGTAATTTCCAGAACATGCTTAGATTCATTAAAGAATATTTTCATAAGATTGTAATATAGAAAGCTTTAAAAGAGTTTCTGAGCCTTTTCAAAGCTTTCTCTTCCAAAAAAACCCAGATTTTAATAACAAACTTTGGTAAACACACAATCTTTTAACCACCTTTGAAAACCAGCTCTAAACTGTTTATAGTAATTATTACTTGTACATAGGAGCACTTCAAGTAAAGTCTGGCAGGATTATTTGTAAAAAAAAAAATATCAGGGTCTTTTTTTTTTAATTCACTGCTCTTCAAAACAGATGTATTATATCCTTGCTAAACATTTCATATTTTATTTATAGAAAAAAAACACATAAAACAGTGCAATTATAATAACACATGAAGCTACTCAGAAACAAAAAAGTGAAGTAACTGGGAGCCAGGAAGCCTCAGATTTACAACCAACCACCGAAATCTATAGATACTGCAGAATCTGTAATACGTGGTCCTAGAAGCCTCCCACCACTGCTCATTAACAGGGTCTGACGAGTCAACCTTAGGTATGTGTCCCACGCACCGTCAGCGCTATCTGGCAGCAGGATGAAGTTAACAGAGCGCTCTTGGGGCATTAGCTGGTTAAACAGGTAAATAACGGGGAGGCAAACCTTGACAGATCGATGCCAAATTCCTAAAGAAGTTGACCACAGTCAACTAAATGGGAGTCTCCTCACCAGCTTCAGCATGCTTGGGATCACGTTTAAAAATATAGTTTGGGAAGCGTCTTATCTGCTTGTCATTTCACACTGCCTTGTGATATCTTGAAAATAAATCCAAATGAATGTGGAGAGTTACGTGTTTCATGAAGACAGAAAACTGTCTGGAGAAGCATAAATCAAAGGGAACAGTTTATTTCACTATTTTGAAACAGAAAAAAGTTGTGGAAACAATGTAATATATCACAAGGATTATCATTCAGTAGGTCTGGTTAATTATCCGGGAGAATGAATAAAAAGCACACTATGGACAATTCATATAAAACTTCAAGAAACTCATACTAAACAATAGCATATAAGTTTCCAGACTAGAAAGACACACAAAATGTCCATCTGTTATAGAACATGATTCAATTTAGGAACATGAAAGGGAAATTAACTCTGGAAGTAAATCTCCCAAACCCCACTTCTGACAAGCAGATGGGGGGAGGGAAGACAAAAAAAAAAAAAAAAAAAAAACAACCAGAAAGCACTATACAGTGTTAACATATTATTCATATGTCAATCCATAACTAGAAAGGAAGGAAATAAAGACCAGGAAGGTTCAGGTTAAGAATCAATGAGAAGTTGCAGTAATAACCTTTGTACTATAGGATAACTTCTCAAGGAAGAGGTTCACTTGGAATAAGACTTGGAATAAGTAAGAAAACCACAAATCTCTACAAAAATTGCAAATCAGATTGCAGAGAAATGAGCTGATTAAAAGCACATTCATTTGTGCTCCATAAATGTAAGAATATAAATATGTATGTGAGACATTTAAATCTGGACAGATGTGCCAGCTAATATTTCTGTTACTGCAAAAAGGGCGCAGCATTCCAAAAATAAAAATCACATCATAACTAAGATTTCTGTTTCGAGTCCTACTTGACAGACTTAGCATTGGCAATCACATGCTTTCCTTTAAAGCTATACTGGAGAACCGGCTTAGCAGCAAAGTCAGAAGGAGTGCCACCTACTGAATCCCTAGCAGCGATCTAACATTTTACAAGTCTCTTTGTAGGTGCCATACCAAGGTACCAACCCAGTTTGAGCCAGTTGAGTCTGCAAAGTTTTTAGGTTGGCAGATTAAATTGACAGGACTGAAGACTACAAAGCGCTTTGAATAAAAATTTTCTAAAAGACACTTTACCTTTGATATAACATGCAATACCTGTGTGAATACTCACTTCCCAAAAAGTTCATTACACTTGCAGTTTCCTCCTATGCAGTTTATCACATATACTACATTGATGATATATGCCAGAATTGATAGAGACAGCATTTATAATATCAGATAAACTTAATTCAAATTCAAAACAAATTACACTGGTAGATGAAAGATACTTCGGTCTTGTCTATGCTTCAAAGTACAGGGTAATGTAGGCTATGAATTTAAAATATGAAAGCTATTCTCTTCAAAGGATAGTTCTAAAATGATTCAGTCTAAAGAGAAAACAAAGCATTCTTGTTCCTGAATAAGAAAGTCCACACACGGACTGAACTGGAAAGAATTTTCTGTAGGCAGTGAAGCACACTATTTTGTTATCAGTAAGCAGCTTTCATTTTCATAGAATGCTTGCAAACTGAAGAGAAATAAGAGGACATTTAAATCTACTTACCCAATTTTTGTTTTCTCTTTAATTTTGGATGAAGAACCAGTTTTTGCCTTTTTGCCTTCCTTGTCCTTCGGTTTAGATTTCACTTTTCTTCCTTTCTTTTCCTCTTTTCCTTCAGCTGAAACACTGGGGAAGTTTTCAGGACTCATTACTCGCGGAATGTTTCTCTCTCCTCTCTCTTTTGCTTTTGCAATTGCTTCGGATATTATGCGATTTGCCTTCTCTTGTTTACTTTCAGAGTCTGCTTTTTTCTTCTGCTTCTTTTCAGACACTACCCTCACCTGGGTATTCTGTAACTTAGTATACGATCCTGAACCATCAGTCTTTTTGGAGGAAGGAGGCTGCAGTATGAAACAAAAAGTAAACAAAATCCCTTTATTTTAACAATACTAACATTCTTTTAAAAAACATGCAAGTGTTTTTAATCTGGAATTGCATTAAAAAAAAATCAAACTGGCAGAGACTCATGCAAGGACACAACAAAGAAGGAAAATGATTCTGTTTTACCACAGAACGGTGTTGGTTTCAGAATAAGTACATCAATTGTTGTGTTTTAAACAACCCGTCTACATACTGAAAAATCATTATAAAGTACTTTTCTCAAATTTTCTCACCCTTCTTTCCACCTCTGTAGTTAACAGTCATCAATTCTTAAACGTTCTCATACCTTTGACACACATCTCCAAAAAATTATTCTCAAAACGTTTGAACGCAGAGAACCACCGGAGGTAACAGCACAAGTATTCCACTTTTGATACGACACCAGGGCCACAGATATCTTAAAGATATACCTTAAAGACTTAAGAGCTGCAAGACTAACTCAGTGCTAAACAGAACAGACGCTTGAACAAAATCAAGATGAAGAAAAAGACAAAACCAAAACTAAACTATAGAGCGTTATATTGGTAGACAGATCAGAAAGTAATCTTTGTTTTACGTAGAGCAACATGAAGTTCAATACGTTAGTTAGAGGACATAATTCTCGCTTTTATTTCAGGGTTTTTAATCACGACTTCATCTATGCAGAATTGTTTACACTGAGAACTCGATATCCAAATTATCAGTCTCTCTTTAAGCAGACTAGAAGACATGTTTTTGCTTTCTTCCCCTCCCCCCTTCCCCTTGGAGGAATGGAAAGAATTTCCTATTCAAACAGAGAAAAAAAGCCCAGCAGATAACAGTTATGTTACGTTCTCACCCGTAAACGCGCCTCTGACTACTGCATGAAGAAAAGCCACCCGGAACATCCAAACACATTTTCTGGCCAAATCCAGTGCACTTCACTGGATACATTTTCTATACGTGCCTCAAAGGCTTAATAGCAGTGCTGCAGCACTGGGAAGGAGGCAGGGTTTAGGATCACTCTCTAAAATGCCACCTTAAGGCCTACAGGCTATAACAAATAACCAAGACTCGAGAAAACAGCAACAAGCTCAAGATGGCGATGCAGCACGACTCCCGCAGCAGCAGCCAGTAATAAGGAAGGTTATTCAATCCCATTAGCCTTTTAGCCCAAAGAACCCCTCCTCCTCCCACTCATTCAGGCTTTCACTTACCCTTCCTCTTGGCCTCTTCACTGAAGACATTTTTGGCGTCAGACAAAGGCTTGCCCTCTGCTTTTTCAGCACCCCAGGCAGTGCTCAGGAGAAAAGCATTGAAAGAAGATTGCTAAATGGCCTATTTAGCAAGCTGCAGCCAAGATATGCACAACCCTCCACAAACACACATTGTGATTTATCCACATCTTTCTCCCTTGACAAGTATACATCCACTGATCGTCCAGCTCAGGTACGACAAAGACTGTCTACCTCCCGCAAAGAGCTGAATTTCAACAATAGCTGTAAGCAGATAGCCAGATTCCAACAAAGCACAGAAAGAAATGAATGCACAAAGCATCAAAATGCATCAGCATGAATATTAGAGATGTCGTTAAAAATACTGACTCCTTCTGCGGAAGTAGGCCAGCAGATGGTGCTACCAGTTATTATTCCATTAGACTCTGCAATTTAACCCCCAACGGGCTGCTCTTCCCTGCATGTGGTACAGGGATTAACTCTTACTTCTCCACCTCCTGCAGTAACACCACAAATGCCGCTTCGTTCCGTTTCGGTTGAAAATCACGGGAACTAACCATTTTTGCGTATTCCACTTCACTGCAACTTTATAGCTCTTTCATCTAAACGGAGGGAGAGGCACCCACTCACCCACCCTCCCCTTGGTCTGCGGCCTCAAACGTATTTTGCTCTCCGAGACACCTTTTACTTTTTCACACTGAACTGACGACTGCAAGCCAGTAACAGTTTTCAGCAGCGTTCCATCATAGGCGTCTCCATTTCTTACGGATAACGGAAGAATGCCCTTCTCTTCATTGTATTCCTTCCCTCTGCCCCCGGCCAAGACCTACAGACCTTCTCAATTAAATGGAACATGACTCTGTAGTAAACTCCTGTTCATTCAAAGATTACTTTGAAATGTTATTTTAAAATGTCTGATAAAATTTTTAAAAAGCATTTTTAACATGTCAAAGCAAACCTAAAAGAAGGTACGATCAGGGTTTTGAAGAGTTGTTTGTTTTCTTTTTCCCCTTTAACAAAAAAACTTTTCACATAAAAACTATATCCTGGCAGTAGCATCGTTTACCAAAGCCCATTCAAGAAGAACGAAGGCAGACCAGAATACGGTCGCTTTTTTTCTTACTATGAATCATGAAATAAGTAAAAATATGTACTGTATGATATCCCATTGACAATTTAAAATATTGCAGTGATTTTGAGATTTTGAAAGTTAGCTCTTACACTTAATCATGCTTTCACTTCTTTTCAGACTCGCTTCACAATGAACTTCCTTGTTCATTTAAAATATTAGTGGTACTCGTACATGAAATGGATTCTTTTGTAAACAATCTCACTTAAATTCAAAGCTATTTCTGTAAACACGCAGCTTAATACACAAGGACAATTATTAAATTTTAATTTTATTTTTTTGAACTCTAGCCAAGAAGCTTCTAAATTATACTTATGCAACCATAACAGAAATTGCAGTGATTTATCTTTTACAGGCATTACTTTGTAAGTTAATGAAAAATGCTAAAAAAAAAAAAAAAGTATTATTTTAATATTTTGAGATAAACAAAAAAAGTTTCCTACTTCATTCTCAGTATAATTTTAGCTCTAAACCAAAAGCTACAAAGCTGGTCATGTCAGAGAATTTTTGAAAGACTGAACGATCCCTGAACATTCCAGGCATAGGAAACAAACCAACAGAAAGTTATGCCTAATCACTTTGCTTGCAATAGTAGAAGTGGCAGCTTCTCTGCTAAATCTTTTGCAATAACCTTTCTAGAGACTGTTACTTTAAAATAAAATTTTTTTCCTATATATTTCCTCAGATAACTTTTACTACTTCATTACTATAGAACCGTGAGTTCACTGGACTAGGCTACTGTATGTTTTCATTCCTGAGGCTGACCCTTTGCTTCTTGCTCTATACTATCGTTTCTGTTTATAGGTTATGTCTCCTGCCCTCCAAAAACAGTAAAATATTTGTTAGAAAACAGAAGACGCTTTTTGTTTTTTTAATTTTGCTGCAATATTCCTAATCAGATGGGAATGACATTCATGAAAATGCAGGAAGGCACCAGTCAGTCATCCTAAACTAAAGCTTTAATGAAACCTGCATCAAGAAAGTCACCACCGTTACAAAAACCAAAACCTGAAAAGAAACATAAGTGTTCTGAGATTAGAAGAACCAGAAATACCCTTACACTGCAAAGGACAACATCTGCATGTATATCGCATCTACAACAGAAAAGACAAAGCCTTTGCAAAGCCAAAATCACCCCCCCTCCCCCCCCATTGAGAGATAACGTGCATCAAACATCCTAAAGGAGGATATCCTTTTGCCAATGGCATACAAAGCTATTCCATCTACCAGCACTAAAAGAAATTCTTAACTGACAAATACATAGGAGAAGGTAGAAAGGAAAACCTGAAGGCAGACATGTACTTAAAAACTGAAAATTTTATTTGGAAAAATATGTTTGTAGTTTTCATGGTTGCAAAGATAATCATCCAAATGTAACTGAATGTAAACCAGTGCAACGTCGTCCTCTTGAGCCCGCACAGAGAGCTCCAGGGTATCTGCTGCTGTAATAGCTTTGCCAAGCAGCGGCAGAGTGAAATTAACAAGACTCCAGTCAGTTCCCCTGCTGCTATTCAAAATCCTGTGGGCAGCAATGAAATTGTCAAGAAGCACGTCAATTTCATGCTGCTGCTGCCTGGAGAAGCCATTAATAGCAGCAGGTATAGGCAACTGGGCTGTTCACATGGAAGAGTTATCCCTAAAAAATACTACGGATGGAAGAGAGTAAGACAATAGCTGTAGACTTCCCCACTTATGCCCTGATTCACAGCAGCAAGGATCGCATCTTCTCTTCAGCAGCAGTCAAGAGACTTTGACACGCTGTCTTGCAGGAGCAGGAGGTACACTATACATCTCTGAATGACATCTTGTTAAGCTAACATAAAAAGCAACCGAGTTACCAGGCAATATCCAGAAAGAATCATGACAGAAGTCTTCCCAGTAGCTAGGAGTACTCTAGTGAGCAGGTTTTTCATAAAATGGCATTTCTCCAACATTTTGTTAGTGGGAAGTTCAGGCTATGCACTTGAAGACCTTCACTGGCTCAACAATTCTTCCTAAGACGAGGATAAATCATTGTCATCAACTCATACAGACACTGTTTTCCCCCCTTGAAGACATAAAGCCACTTTCAGTTTGTTCTATAACCTCTAATAGTTCCTTCATATCCATTGCATATCACTACCCAGGAAGCCCCAAGAAAACAAGCTGAATATATAGAGCAAAAAATTTATCTTCCAGAAAATCCTGCCCTATCTCTTCCATGAACAAAAGATTGCTTCTACTGTAAGAACACATTTCTTACAGCATAGCCATTCATTCCAATGTTGTATTACTTTCAACTCTGTGCACGCACAGAATTTTAAGACTAAATCTCTCTCCTGAGCTACATCCATTCTAGATATACTCAAAGGACTGGTAATGCCTTTCTCTGCTATTTTAATGAGTTACACATTCCTGATTTAATTATATAAAGCATCCTTATCTTTAACAAAAAGATTGATTTTCACTTGTGGATCTACTCACCCAAAGACTAGTTACCACTAAGAACTTAATTATGATCCTACCTTTTCTAAAAGTAGAAAGCTAAGGTTTCATTGTCAATGACTTGAAAGATTCCTTTACTTCTTGTGGTAGATTACAGATATCTGTGGGAAGAGGCAACTACTAAGCACAGTATGCCTAGAAAGCATAATAAATT